AATTGTGCGGGCTCATTTTTTTTAATTTTTACTACGTCTACTCCAATATATTAATCGAAATTGTTGGAAATAAGCAGTGGCGTCATTGGGAGGGGGGGTGGCAAGAGTGCGGTCCGCACCAGTCGACACCATTTTCGAGGTGGCAACCAAGCTGGAAAAATTATATCTTGGCAAAAGCAATTACATCGGAAAAGATAATAAAATCTCTAGATGGTAGTTTAAGTGTAAATGCTACAGCACAACGTTACACCATTTCTGTCTTAAAGTATAACAAAAGAAACCTGTTCAAGTGATGTTAAGTCTGTTTATAATTTTAATTAAATATTATTGTATAATTTGAAATAACATTTGAATAAATGTAATAAATAGTGGGATTTTACATTTGATTAAAAATCATTAAAAGTAGGTGTGACAGGTTGGGAAAGGTGACGTGTGCTTGGCGCGTTTAATGTCTAGGGGATGATTATTTTTAAACCTATCACACACCAACCCGTCAGCATATAAATCGGGAGCAGACACGCAACGAGACAAGCAATGAAAGATAGATACAAAGTTAAAAATGAAGAATATTTATTTACATAAATATTTACATAGAAGAATAAAAGGGGGAGGGTTAGCATCTATCTCTAATATTATGTTTACTCATCACTCTTGCACTTAATAAGAGAGTATGTCACTTTGTCTTCTGAACTTAGCTGGTTGTCCTGCTTGGGTCTCAGCTGACTGTGTCCTGGCTTGAGGTTCTGCAGCTGGAAGTGGCGCTCTAACGGGTAGAGGGACGCCGTGATACAGTTCTTGTGGAGTCTCAATCCAAAGTTCTGATATCTGTAGTGGGCACAGTAGGGCGGGTGGCCGGCTACCGTGGGCACAAGTGTACTGCGGGCAGAGCTGATCTGCCGGGGGCAGCGTAGTTGACAGGATAAGTCCAGTGAGTTGCGAAGGGTTTGGCGTAGCTATGACGTCTCGCACAGATCTGGGTGTATAGGGACGTCGCACCTAATAAGTTGACAGGTGGGCTGTCGAATAGGCGGGCAAATAGATCCGATAGCGCCAAGTAGTAGAGTTGAGTAGATCCACGTAGGCAGTAGATGATATTCAATTGCAGGTGGGCAAGTGATGCGATAAAAAGGCAGATAATGCCAAATGAATAGGCAGGTGATCCTAACAAATAGTTGGGTAGATCTCAGTAGGCAAGTGCAGTGCTGAATAGCACTAAGCACATAGGCAGACACCTGAGGGAGCTGCGGATAAATAAAGACAAGTTAGGACATGTCTCACATGCATCTTATCAATGCCCTCGACTGAGGTGCATTCGTCAGATTGGTGAAATTGCTATAGAGCACAATGGAGAGATGATGACAAATGGGATTGGGAAAATAGATGGCTGATAATAGCAATATAAAAATGTACATAAAAGGGGAAATAATAATCTAAAATAAACAACCTAAGTGGAAAGAGAAAAAAGGGGGGGGGGGGGAGAAATGGGCGGTGGTCAGCGACCATGACGGTTTGTTTACATACGACCGTCGGTCGAGAACAAAGGAATGCTTGAATGGGGAGGGTGCCCGTTCAAAGGGCGCAACTCTCGCCAAAGTAGAATGACTAAAGTGGAGATAATTCATATCTCTTCTCTAAGCGCAGTATTATTGCGATAGTAAAAATGTCAAGGTGGTCCGCCGAGATAAAGGAAATAAAAAAAGGAATACAAATATATACATGGTTGCATCAACGATCAATTGAGCAACGTAGCATAAATAGATTGATGCAATACATAAATAAATGCATATGCCATGTTTATGTTTTTTTACTTACGACAGTGAGAAATACACAATGCACTAATAAAATATAAATGAAATAATAAAATACACATGATACTATCCAGTGAGAAATATGCACAAAGTAATTAAGTGGAACTTGTGATTAAGTTCGGCTTACCACCAAGTATTCCTCTTAAGAGTAAGAATAAATGATATAGTCCAGACTCGATTGCTCAGATAGAATGAGAAATGAGAGAGTGTCTATCCCTCCTTATTCTACCTTATATATGGAAGATATGGGCGGAAACAGGAAATGTCCTAGGCTATGAATTATCTTACATGTGGGTGAAATCCGACAAGAGTCGTACCTTGGAATGCCACAAGGCGTGTTGATCCGAGTGATCTCCTTGATCAAAGAGAGATGTGGGAGGGGGGGGGGGGGGGAAGAAAGATCGACTTGCATTCCACCCAAGGTGGTGTCAATTGCGGCCGCCAGACATCCGGGAGGTAAGATCAAAGAGACCGGGTGTTTATCTTTACCCCGATCAAGGGAAGACAAGTGAAAAGCCGCCAAGGTGGTGGACTCAGTCTAGTGAGACGAGGAAAAGGTGGGGTGGGTGAATGTGAATAAAATGGGGATAGGACGGGGAAATATTTAAAATAAAATAAATAAAATATAATTAATGCTGTGATAAGTATGAGTGACTCTGACAGCAAGCTTTTGACTTGTCACAGTAGGTAATCAGCTCACTGTATTGAATTAACAAAAAAAAACAAAAAACTAGCAATAGTATTCATTGGAACATATTTCAAGAAAGTTGATGGGGAAAGGTGACACCCTAAGCTACGCACTAGGTGCCACCGACACTGTATCGGAAGATTTCCACTCTTTACTTTTATGTGAAAAATAACGCCAAATTAAAAAAAATTCTTTAAACGATCAAAAAGAATATTGCTTGAATAGGCCTATATTTCTTGTCCATTGGTGAAATTGATGTGGGCCGCCTCTGAGTTTGTGTTATCACAAATTTTGAAACACAGATTTGTAATCTTATTATTATAAAATGTTGAGAAACACATAGAATTAAGCATCTTGCCCGCCATTCCCCACGCAAAGTGCTGCAAGCTCTATCCACAAAAATCAGTCTAAGGCGACTGTCACAGCCACAAGACAGCTCCTGCTCTCCAATCCAACATGCAACACCATGATATGCAAATTTATGGCTTGAGATTAACTTTTCTATTTGTTCGACATCGGTAGGACCAATGCTGATGGGGGAGGGGTAACTAGGTAGTAGTAACCTGTACCCAATATGCATAATTTTGAGGGCGTCATTATCCGTCATCTCGTGTTTACATTTAATTGTATTTCAAAGTAATACTATAATGCGAAATCCGACTCGTCCCGAGACATGGCGTTAAACTGCGCTCCTCTTTCCTTAGCACTTTCAGAGCTCAAAAGTGCCCTACTTCTTTTCTATCATTGTGTCCGCCTCCTCTTTTTCAGTCTGCCTTCATTACCCATCACTCTGTCTCTCATCTTTAAAATCTCCCTATGTCTTAGACCAGTCCGTTTGCCGTGGACTGCGACGGGTAAGGGGGGATAAAGAGATCCTAGTATTTAAGCAGGTGTCTATCCGAGGATAAACTACCACAATACAGTACTTTGGCTCCAAGTTATTCTAGACCTGAGGCCCAGATGGCCGCTCTGGGTCACACATGTATGTCAGGGTGATCGTTAAAATGTGGCCATTTTATTAAATATTAAAATTTCAAAAAAAAAAAAACAAAGGAAAGGATGGCCTTAATAAACAATATAAAGTATGGGAAGAAATCGTAGCCTGTTTGAAATACTAGAAGCTTCTTGTGATGGGCATTGAGGTATATCAAATAAAGTTCTGTCTTTTCAATTGTATATACTAGCTGATATCCGTGCTACGCTACGCTACGGTTTTAAATAGTTGGTATTTATGTTTATTTTGCCCGGAAAGCTACAACGTCCCCCCCCCCCCCCAACTCAAAACATTTTTCTAGACCTCAAATTCTGTCTTTTTCAACCTACAAACGAAGGCATTCAAACACTTCTTAGGCACATCAATTGTAGGCTTCCATCTCCCTGTACTGTGGTCCCCTCCCCCAGATATACACACAATATATTCAAATGAGACCCCCCTTCCTGTGGAACAGTTTGAAAGAAGTAACATCACCTTCATAACACAATCGTCATCCCAACAACAACATATGCATGTGAGACGTGAAAGTCATCTGCCAAAATTGAGAAAAGACTAAATGTGGCTCAACAAAAATGGCTAATACGGATTTTAGGAGCCATTTATAGATATCGGGTCTCAAATTCATACGCCGAACTGGAAATCGACCGCTTATTGAGGTTGTGACAGAGCGTCGCATGATGTTTGCGGGACAAAATGAGCTAGGCATACCAAGAGTTGCGATGACATGGAGGCCACTACGCGGAAAGCACAAACAGGGACGTCCTCGTATAACTTGGCGCGACACTTTCATGGACCTTAGAACAGTGGACATCAGATGGTAAAAACTTCATTTCCAGTGACAGATCTTTGCGGAGACAGCTTGCCGCTCAATGCGCCGAACGGCGTGGCAGGATCTAAGCCCAAGTAATTCATAATAAGATGTGAAATATAATTGACGATTATCAAAAAGGCTTATTTCATGACCAGTTTCTCTCTATAGAACTACTTTTTTAAAAAACTGAGACCAGTGTTTTGTTTTTATGGGGTTCCTGGAGTGCGAAATTTATTATTTTTTATTTTTGCTTTAACTTAATAACTTCTGTTATATTATATTATATGACAACTCAATAAAATATATATATATATATTGAATGTTGTCTAATGTTTCTGGGTTGCCATGGTAATGGCTTCCATCTTGAATATAAACAAAAATTAGTTTATATAGGAAAATTCTTAAATTTTTCAAAATTGAAAAATTTCAAAGCTAAAAATACTTACACCTTAAAGTATAAAGGTGGCTGGAACGAGCTAGCTAGATTTTATACATTTTCCTTAGTATTGTGCATTCTTTTTTTTTAAAGGTGATTTTTTTACCCGTAAAATGCATCCACATTTTTTTTTCAAAAGATCATATATTAAAAACTTCTTCAGATAAAGTCATTCAAACTAGAGATTCTCGTATTATTTATCTCTGAAAATGTGTACCAAATTTGACACATTTATCTCTATTAGTTCCAGAGATTTTATAAATATTCTACAGGGGGGTCACAAAAAATGCATTCACTCAAAAACAGTGACTTTGTATTTTTTTTTAATGTAAAATCGTGTTTACCATGCATCATTAAAATGCTTTTTTTCAACAACAAAAAATGCAATGTTTTAGAAAATTTTTGGTGCCAGTTTATAAAATTCATGTCCAACTATTAAGTTACACCAAAATTGAAAAATCATTTTTTTTTACCCAAAATCGACTTTTTCACACTCCAGTAACTCCTGTGTGTGATAGCGTGCAAACTTACCACAATTCCGCGTCCTAAGATAGAGTTAGGACCAATAAGTGAAGCAGCCTGAACAGTAAAGTTGGAATTTGAGTCTCCATACATATCAACTTCAATGTTTCCCCAGTCACCGACATGTCTACAGAAACAGAGACAGAATTGTAAATAAAACGAGAATTAGTGAGGGAAAACCACAATTATAATAATGTGCAGCCGAACATTCTGGGCTCACATTGGTTTCACAAGCCACATAAGCACATGAGGCGGCACAAAACCCCAGTGCAAAGCCCTCATTCCCCTGGATGACAAAAATGGTCATTGTCATGCGCATATGGAGTTGGTGCTTTGTTATGTGTTTCTTTTTTGCACCAGAATAAGGCTAAGTTAGGTTATTAAATTTGTTTCGTTATTTTGTTGCTCTAGAGTCGTTGTTATTATAAACATGTGAATGTCAGTCACAAGGAATGCATATTTTTCTTGTTAAGGACTCAAGCTTGGGACTCTGCGGAATTCAAGCCTGATCTTTACTTAGCCATTATCCATTGGGTCGTGGGCATCGCGACTAATACGAGCTTGCATGTTAACTATGTTGTATATTTGCACATAACTTAGGAGTGCTAACATAGTATTAATTTTAATGTATAACCATCATCCATGTTATGATGTCATGTGCACACAGTACACAGTACATATGACTATGTTCTGGCCAGGTATGAAATAAAGAAGATGGTAGAGACATGCACAGTTTGTCAAGAGAGGAAACCAATGATCATGAGAGGAACACTTAGACAGTACAATGAAAGAAATAGTCCTTGGGGAACGGTTGGTGATGACATGATCAAAGGTGTCTCAGAAAGAACTTGGCTAACTTTGGTGATGAAAAAAAGAGAGCAACAAGACAACAGAAATACAAAGAATAAGTAACGAGACTTTGTGATAAAAGAACATATGAGCTACATCGAGACCAAACAATACAAGCATGAAATAGAAACTGTGAAAAGTAGGATGGTATCCTGGCATAATTATAAAACAAGTATCTCCAAGTATCAAATCAAGGAAGAAAATGGAAACAAATACATTTGCAATAGAGAAAACATTCGATGAAGAAAAACTATATTGTACATGAACAATTAATCTATGATGATAGTGTGAAGCTACATATATATATATATGTCCATCATCAAGAAAGAAAATTCAGTCTGATAAACTTTATAGGATTCATAATGATAAACTAGCTAGGACTATTAGTACTGAGATACAAGAAGTCAACGCGGAAGTGGAAGAGTGTACTCTGCTATACCGATTTTAGTGACTGATATAATATCAAATATATGTATCACATTGGATACTATGTGTTTGGATAATATGTGTTCGGATATCATATTTATTTTTTGTTGTTGATTATTTGTTGTTTATAATATTAGTTTAAGAAATTGAGATGTCTCATTCATTATATTCTGTATTATTAATTACAAGGATTATTTAAGCTGATTTTGTTAAGCTGTAGAAAAGGAAGGATGTTAGTATTTATTTTATATATACGTTATGCTATTCAGTATCTAGGAGTAATGTCCCTTGTTGACTTGTTACTTTGAATGGCGTCCTCATAAACAGCTGATTTGTCAGTTAGACTAGCATATGAGTTATATGCTTAATCGTTTAATGTTATCAACAAGTGTAAATAGATCTATTTGTTAAGGTAGAGAGTTTGGGGGGGGGGGGGAGAGAAAGGGATACTCGAATTTACCAGCCGATCCAGTTATAAGAAAGAAAAAACAATATATAACCAAATCAACGGGCATAGCCTGTGGATAATGCTAGTATAATTTATATATTGTAATAACCCAGCAATGCACACCACCATCCAAGCTAGTGCAGAAGAAGAGTACTGTTAAAGACTAGAAAAATGACTAGACTGAGAAAGATATTTACATTAGATAGTAGCAACGGAGTTTCTCCCAAGTCTAGGCTGTTTTCAAGGCCGACATTACTATATTCGGTGAGTCGTTTCCCTTAAGCTATTACATTGGTGTCGAAGTGAGATCATAGACGACTCAACGGGAAGAGTTGGGGATTTGATTTGAAATGACTAGTTTGAAACTGCTTGGTGAGTTGGTAGAGAAGGAACTAAAAGAAGAACTCCAATGACGTGGATTGAAATGCTTCGAGAGAGACAGGAAAGTTCTGATGGCATGCCTTAGGCAAGCGATGAAGATGAAGATCCGGAAGTTTACGAATTTGAGACAGAGCCCGATAAGATCCAATGCCGTTAAAAGCGCAAACAGGAACTAATGGACACAATTAGAAGCGAGGTGCATGAACAAATAAATAAACACGATGAAGAACCAGGTACATTTCGGTCGCAATTGAGTACACGGGAAGGACAAATAGATTCGTTGTTAAGAGAGGAGTTACCTAATCAAGATGTATAAACAGTGGGCACGGAGGTGCTGGAGGCTGTAGCACCATTTGTGACTGTGTTGTTGGCAAATCATGCTTCTTTTTGTTTTGCTTGGGTAACAGATTCTTGACTGGAACTTTCTGTTTGTTGTTTTTCACCAGTGTTAGGTAAGTTTGGTTATTATAATTTTTTCGTTATTGCATTGCTCTAAAGTCGTTGGTATTATAAACATGTGAATGACTGTCACATGGAATGCATGCCGAATAGTGAAAAAATGACCGGATATTCGGCCAAAGCCAGAGCGAGTATCCGGTGCACCCCTAATATATGTACAGAAATAGATATTAATCCTATCGAATTTTGACAAACTATTATAAAACTAACTATGCTGTTATAGGCACGGGCTGGTTGCAGCAGTTTTCGAGTCCATTCTTCCTAAGTTATTTCCTTTAATAAACACGAGGAATGTTTCAATTATGGAAGACTAACTGAGCGATTTTATTAAGTGAGGATATTAAATAAACATTAAATATCCCCCACTGTCTCTATACAGAACGTAGATGTATGCAATTCACTTCCTCGGGAATAGGAGAAAAGCCTTGTACGTTGTTTTTTTTTATTGGACCCCACATGATGTTTATAATTAGATGTACTTTTTTATTTAATCGGATTGGATGGATTGGACGAAGGAAAATATCTTAATATCCATATCTATATTGTTTCGAATTCATTTGATAACCTTCCGCAGAAAGAAAGTTTCCTTAAGGGAAAAAAAGTCCTATATTAAGATCCTAAATTATAAGGTAGTAAAAAATCTAGATGCCTTTACTAGGCCTGTTCCGGTGATTGAAAGGCATTTACTAAATCTCTCTCTCTCTCTTACTATCTGCAACTATTTTAACAAAACTTACCCGTGGCTATTATTACGATAACCGTGATGAACGCCTTCCGGGTTGAAGTGGTCTCCCATAGAATGACATCCTTTACTAGAGTCACCAAATTCATGAACATGAAAGCCATGAAGCTTCTTATTTAGTGAAATGTCGTTGCTTGATAGATTTAAAAACTGCTTCTCTTCTTTGATGTCGGTACTTGTATGGTTTGACTGAACAGAAAACCCATGTAACTGAACCTCAACCTTCAGATACTGTCCTGGCTGGAGCATAAAGAAATGTATTTTAATTATCTATCTTTTTTTATTATACTTTTACAGTACTCGATCCGTTTTTTTAAATCATAGAAATATATAGATGGTCATCAGGGGCGAACTAGGTATCAAAATCGGCCCGGGCATTACCATATAAACCGGCCCACACATGATGTCATATTATATATATATATATATGAGTGTGTGTGTGTGTAATTAATCTTCATTACATTCTGGAAAGACAGTGCACACCAGCAAGGACAGCTAGGTAGTATGGGGGAGCGCTGTAAGCTCACCCAGCTGGGTCTGTGGCGAAGCTCCGGATTCAAGCATTATTTCCGTTATTTTAAGCTTTACAAAATGCATATTCTGAGGTATCTACAGTGCAAATAACTTGCTACTCTTCCGCTAGCTAAAAAATTCAAAAACCAAATCTGCTATTCACTGCGACTGGTAGAAAATGGTAACTATAGTTTTGCTTTAGTTTTTGTATTGGAGCATAACCACAAAACCCCTTTGGCTACGCTTATGAAATTTGGTGACAGTAGTTTGTTTAAGTTGGCTGCACTGGGGCATAAAGTAGGGTTTCCCTTTCAGACAATGAAATCTAAACAAGTGGTGGTTTGAACCCTCCTCCTCCCGGCTACACCCATGTCATATTATAGGTGTAAGCCTAATTCTCTTCAAAATATATACAGTTTGATAGCGCATCGATAACTGGATGTATGCTTGCGTAGGATTACATAATGTATTTTATTTATACATGCATGTAGTCTGAAAACTATAAACAATACAATAGCAGCCTTACATAGTTTGAAACGTTTTTGGTATTACTCATAGATTACAGACGTTTCTTCAAAAAATAAGGTAGCTACGTCCTACGCATTTCATGTGTCAATCTAGTCATGCATGTTGATCTGTGACTTAAAATATGCTAAGTAATTGGTTTTCCTGGCTGACTCAGGCAACCCATCCCATTGCAGAACGGTTAGAGAGGCACTTACTAGTACATTCTCAAAAACGCGAATCATATATGAATATATCATGACCCATTATTTAAAATATAAATATCTTCTCTTATCTTATCTTATATAATACAGACGTTACTTCAAAAAAGAAGATGATTACGTCCTACGCGTCATGCATTTAGTCATGCATATTAACCAATGACTTAAATTCTGCCAAGTCACTGGTTTTTCTGGCTAGCTCAGGCAACCCATTCCATGCCCTAATAGCACTAGGGAAGAAGGAGTATTTGTACAAATTTGTCCTAGCATATGGGACGAGGAATGTGCCTTTATTTTTCCGATATGTCTCTAACACATTTCTAAAAAAAAAAGAATATAATTTAGTAAGGACAAGGATTCTAGACTATGTCTAAATTCTAGTACGGACTTATTTGAAAACTTGGTCTTGAATGTAGATCCAGATCTGCTGCCTATTTGATCTTCTTGGTCTAGATCTAGATTCAAGTTGTAGTCTTTACTTAAATCT